CGGTCTGCAGCTGACTCGGAAATGCATCCCCAAACATGAGCGGGGTGGGAGGCGGGAGAGGCCTAAGGGAAGCTTGTCTAGGTTCCTAGTGGGGAACCCAGGGGTGGGCAGGTGGTGCGGTCTCTGTCCAACACCCCACCCCACCCATAGTACTGGGGGCTGAACCCAGGGCCTTCACCTGAGCTACATCCCCAGCCCTTTTTATTTTAAAACCGAATCTGGAGAAATCCCTAAACTGCCTAGGCTGGGCTCAAACTTGGCAATCCTCCTGCCTCAGCCTCCCAAAGTGCTGGGATTAAGGAGTGCACCACCACGCCCAGCTCACCCTGCTCCATGTAGCTGCCCTTGATTGAGAAGAACCCTCAGCCATTGTCCCCCAGGAGCTGCCACCCATGAGCTAGCTACCCCGGGAGGTGACCACTGCCCCCACTGACACCCACTGCCCGCTGCCCACTGGCCCCTGACCCTTACCGCCCACACCCAGGTGCTGCCAGTCCTTCCATCAAAGCAGTGCACCCACACCTCAGGACACAGGGGCTCCCCATAATGCAATCACCTGCAAAGGTCCCATGAAAAGGTCTGGGGGACATGGAAAATGGAACCATAAGCCCTGCACAGGCCATAACTACAGCAAAGCCCCGGACAGTCAGCTGATAAAGTGACCACGTATCTCACCGTGTGGGAATTTCTGTCCGTGAGTGAGCAGTGGGTCCCCTTGCTTTTAGGTCCTCGATGGCAGGGGGCGGAGGGAGGTTGTCTACTGCATGGCCGGAAAGTGGGCGTGAGGAGGAGGAGGCATGGTGGTCCTGCCTCTCTCCGAGGACATATGCCCCCAACCTGAGGAACGCCCATCTGAAGCCATGGGCCCTGAGGACCCCGGCGGAACCACAGCCATCCCATCTCAGCCTCATCCCGGCCCCGAGGACTCAGTGGTAAGCCCAGCCCAGGCCCCTTCCGTCACCGAGCTTGTGGTCCAGTGAGGGACGGAGGAGACCAAAGCAGCTTGAGATTTTTAGCACAGATGAGGAGGAAACAAAGCCAGGATGCAGGGACCTGATCGTGTGCCACTTGGCGGGGAGGCTTCTCTGAGAGATGGCACTGGGCAGAGAACACAGGGATGAAGGATGAGGCGGGTGGCACGTGGGAACGCATGCCAGGCAGAGGCCGGCGGGGCTCATGGGCCTGGCATGTGGCAAGATTCTGGTGCCCCAGCCGAGTTCCCTCCCTCCTTCACCCCTGGCCAGGAAGAAAGGCCATAGTGGACCCGATGTCCTCCCAGCCTGCAGCCCCAGACCCCTCTGCCAGCCCGGGCCACCCTGCCTGGCTCACAGGTAACCACGCTTTGCTCCTGCAACACACCAGGAACCAAGCCCCCGATTCATACGCCAAGCTCCCCGCCGGCCACGTTGGATTCAAAGCCAAGCATCACTGCGCCCAGGAAGACGGAGGCCGAGGCCAGGGGAGGAGGGAACAGAGGGGAAGCCCCTGGCTGCCGGCCATGGGGCCACCTGGGCTGGGTTAGACACGAGGCCCAGGCTCCCTGAGATGCCAGGCTCCCTGATTTGCATCTCGCCTGGTGCCCAAGTCCATTCCCGCAGCGTCCCCACCCTCCCGAGGCGGCCAGCAGGGTGAGTGTGGGGATTAAGTGAGATAAGATCCCCAAGGTGCTGGCCTCTGACAAGGGCTAGAAGTGTTTTTTAAATAAAAAGGAAAGTGCTTAGTAAAGTGTATTTGAAAATCACTCCCGTCCATGTAATTGTGTTTTAAATGTTCAGTAGGAAAAGGCTTTGGCCCCTCTAAGACTAATCGGGAAGAAACTGCCTCTGTCAGCAGAAACCCGTGATTAGGAAGCCACGCTGGAGCCACCAGGGGTTTAATTAGTTCCCCCGGCACTGCAGGCCCAGCCGGAAGGCCGCCTGGTCGGCCGCTGACCAGCCCAGGGAGGGCCAGCACCCCTGGGTGGGGGCATTGGTCAGCGGTGCCCACCCAGCCCAGGCTGGGCCCAGAGAGCAACAGGGTACAGCACACGTGAGGACTGGGCATCTGCCCCTCACCCGCTCAGGGCAAAGAGGGACGCAGGCCCGGGGCCCGGGGCAGATAGGTGAGCTTTAGGGCAGGGAAAAGTTCAGGCAGGAGGAGAGGGCAAAGCCAGCGGGCAGGGACCAGGCCCCTGCTGTCGTTCATGCCCGAGGGCACGCTGGACCTAGGGCCCTGCGCCCAAGCTGCCTTTCCTTGGGCTAAACATGCCCTGGCATCTGTCAAGTGTTTATCAAGTGGCTGTGCGAATGCCATGCTCAGGACGCAGGAGGCCGGAGGCGGGGTCTGCTGGGGAGGACGTCGGCTGGGTCCTGGTTGTCCGGTTCCCTCCCTAGACCCCCACCTGTCCCTCTGAGGCCTCATCCCTGGACGTGCCTGGAAGGACAGCAGCCAGGTAGCAAACTAATTCTCACCGAGAGCCAGGGGGCAGAGGGTTGAAAAGACCAGCCCAGTGCCAGGGGAAACTGAGGCAGGCGTTCATCAAGGCAGAGCTGCCCTCCATTCCTGCCTGGGAGGCTCACAGTGGCAGGCCCTCCCGGAGACGGACAAACCAACGTAGTGTGCAAAGCTGGAGCACAGCTCAGCAGGAAAGCTGGGCTCAGTATGGGCCCCGGGTTCGAGTCCCAGCACTGGAATAAAATAAAATATATGGAAAAATGCAAAGGACCTAACATGGCCAGGACCGCTTAGCTGGAGCAAAGGCAGAGGGCTCAGCCAACTTGGTCGTGTAACTCTCTGTAAAACCTCAGCAGTTTAAGGCACCGTGAGGCTGGCTTCGCAGTACATGAAGGGACCAGTATAGGAAAATAAGTGTTGGGAATCCTGCCCGCACAGACGTGGTCAGACGGTTACAACAAAACGGAGCGCAGCTCAGCACGGAAAGGGTGAGCTTTCCCTAAATGGTGCTGGGCCGGCGGGAGCGACTGGTTCATTCGGAAAAAGACCGAGGTTTGATTGCTACCTTGCCACAGATGAAAATTAACTCTTTTTCCGTGCGGAGGATTGAACCCCGGCCCCACCCCGAGCCACAGCCACGCCCAGACCCCAAAAATTAATCCTGAACAGATCTTTGATGTAATGTGAACAGTACACAATAAAGCAGCTTGACAGAGACACTTTTGATTTTGTTTTTTATCAGTTCACGGTGGGGAGTGGGTTCACAGTTCTTTCTCATACCCTACCCTCCCTCTGTGTCCTCCCTCCATTTCTTGAAGTAGGAAAATCTTTCTTTCTTTCTTTCTTTCTTTCAAGACAGGGTCTCACTATGCAGTTCAGGCTGGCCTTGAACTCTTGGTGATCCTCCTGCCTCAGCCTCCTAAGTGTTAGGATTTACAGTCATGCACCACCATTCTCCCGTGAGTAGAAAAAGATTTCTTATAGCATAACACAAAACAACTATCCATAGAGGGGTAACTGATGAGTTGGATTGCATTGCAGGTCATCAAAGGACAGCGTGAGACAGTGAGAAACCCAGGCAGCCAGAGAGCAGAAGACACCGCACTTTCCAGCAAAGAACTCCGTCCAGTCTGTGGAGTCCAGACATCAGAGGAGTGAGGAACAAGTCAATAAAAACCACCAAAAAGCCTTAGCAGGCAAGAAAGATACTCAGGTTTTCAATAAGCTATAAAAAAGTCCTCAAAGCTGTGTACCATGTACTTGTTTTCTCTCGCTACATAGCCCAAACTGACCTTGAACTCATGGTGATCCTCCTGCCTCGGCCTCCTGAGAGCTGGGATTATAGCTGTGTACCACGTCTCCCAAGTACTCACATCTGTTCTTTACTGGTAGGGAAACTGAGGCAAAGAGCTGTCAACTAGCTTGTCCAAGAGTAGCTTGCCCAGGACCTGAAGCCAGGTCTTCATGTCCATTAGAACCAATGGGGGCTCCAAGGTCCACTTCACCCAGGTTCAGCAACTCCCCAGCTCCCCACTGAGGACCCCCAAGAAACCATGATGTCCCTCTGCTGACCCAACATCTTTGTCCAATAAACAGCCTGGTCCCATGGTGGGCACGGGGAGGAGGGCTGGCCCAGCTGTTGTGAAAAGGGCTGGTTGTGTTAATTAGGGGGTGACCCCTCTGAGGTGCCCCTTTGCTGAGCCCAGAGCCAGGGGCTGTCCCAGCCGGAACCCCGAGAGTGGGCACGTCCCAGCTGGCCAAGGGCAGGCTTTCCCAGCAGGGACCTTCTCAACAGCAAGGGCAGGCCTGGGCACGCCAGGTCCTTCCGGCTCCAGAGCCCCTTGTCGGGGCCCCAGGCTGGGCCCAGCATCCCCTACCCACTGCTCGCCCAGCCCGCGTGCCCGCCGGGTCCCCCGGAGGCCACAGCCCGAGGCGCAGGCTCCGGAGGGCGGCTGAGAGGTCGGAGGCGGGGCGCGGCCCGCGCTGCTGCCCAGGGAGGTCACCGCTCCCGGGAACTCGCTGCCTCTGCTGCCGGCCTCGGAGAGCCGGGAAAGGGCGGCTCCTCGCTGGAGCTGATGTCGAGGGGCAGAGGGAAGAGGGGTCCCTCCCAGCAAGCCCCGGCCCGGCGGCTGGTCCGAGGGGTCCGTGAGCCCGGATGAGCTGAGCGGGCCACCCAGCCGGACCGGTCCGGAGCCGGGATCCGAACCCAGCCCCCACCCCCGCCTCACAGCGGGCTGAGCACCCGGACAGTGGATGCAGAAGCTCGAGTTCCATCTCGGTGGGTAAACTGAGTCACGCGCCTCGGCCTCCCGCACATTTGCGAGTCACTTTCGCCTTGGGTAAACTGAGCCACACATCCCTGCACCCACGCTGGCCTTGGGCAGCTTCCGGACGGTGCGCGCCGGGCAAAGATGTAACCCGCACGGGGGAGGGGTCTCCATGGCGACGGGAGGCGGCCTGGGGGGAGTAGAGAGGGGGAGGGGACAGAAAGGGAGGGAGGGGCAGGGCGCAGGGGGAGGGGGAGGGGAGGAGGCGTCTGCGCATTGATCCCGCAGTCAGATTCAATCCAGAGTGAAAATGGATTTTTTAATGCGTCTATTAGCTGCTTTGAAAACGCAAATTGAGTTCAGAGAAGACCGAGGCCGCCATCAGAAAACAATTTGGCGTCTGAGGCACTGGGGACGGGTGGGAGCCCCAGCACGGGGGACCCCCACCCCCACCCCGTGCAGCCTGAGCCCAGCCTTGTGAGCAGAGCAAGAGAGACCTTTATGCCCCCACCTTCCTCCCTGCTCCCGGGACGCTGGGTTTAGCTGGAGTTGTGGGCCAGTTTTCCTACAGCAGTGAGCAAACCATTCCAGGAACAAAGCAAGCTCCCGGTATCTGGGTGATCCCGGAGGGCTGCCTGGATGTGGCGGCCTGCGAGGGAGCAGGGGCTGCTGGGGGGCTTTGACGCATGCGCACTCAGCACATCTTGGTCTCGGGTGAAAAATAATGCACAGCAAGCGTCTGCCCCGCGCTCCAGCAGCGCTTTGGAGTTTACGAAGCGCGCCCTGGCTCGCTGTGAGCCGAGTCCTGGGAAGGGAAGCAGGCAGGAGCTGGGAGCCGGCCGGCTGCAGAAAGCCTCCTCCGGGCTTCGGGGGGAGCTCGGAGAGGCAGAGGCCACGACTTCCCTCCTTTGAGATTCTCCAGCCTGGAGCCTCCTTTGCATATGCAAATGAGCTCATGCTCCCGCAATTACACAGTAATCAGCTGCAAATTACCTTCTTGCTGTTTACTTTCAGCGTTCTTAATTAATCCGGTTATTAGACGATTAATGGAGCTTGTTTGGTGAGAAATTCATAGCAAGAATGGAGAAGGCGTTGCTTAGGCAGGGAAGAGGGCAGACGGGTCCTGCCCCCAAACCGGGGTCCCCTCACCCGCCTCGCAGCTTCTCTCCTGTCCTGGGTCCCCGCACCCGCCCGGCCCACCTGCCCTCCCCGGCCTCCACCTCCCCACCCTCACCCCGGCTGCCTGGGGTGGGCCGTGGCCCTCAGTGTCCTGGCTCCCCGCCCGCACCCTCCCCTTCTCAGGGAGGAATGGCCGTCCTGCCCAGGGCCACCCGTCCTGTCCCCGTTGGACACTGCCCCGCCCAGCCGAGGAGACTCGGAGATCCAGTCTAACCTGAACAGCGCGGCCTGCACCCCTCCGTGCTCCCCCAAGTCCTCCCGTCCCCCAAGTCACTTGGGGGCTCCCTCGGGATAGTGTCCCCGCCTGCTGCTCCATCCTGGAGTCTCTGCTAATCTAACTTTTCCCATTCTGCATTTAGCTCGCTCCTTTTGTGTTTCTGAGTGTCACAGAGGTTTTGCGATGTGGGTTTCTCTTCATTTCCTCCACTTAGAGACCTTTTTTTAAACAATCATTTCCAAAAATCCCTAATGAGCATATTATTAAATATTACCTCTCCCAATTCTCTGAAGATCTCTGGAACTTCTAGATGGACTCCTAGTGCTGTATCTCATATCTTCTCCTGTTTTCTTCTCTGTAGGACATTGGACTAATGATTTCTTCAAATCTATTTTCCAATTCACTAACTGTCTCTTCGGCTGTATCTAATGGCCTGTGTATCCCTTCCACTGGGCTTTACATTTCAACATTACTTTCATTTCTGAGTCTATTAACTCATTTTCATATTTGTCTGGTTTTCCTTACAGCATCTTCCTTTCTGTGAGCATTTAAAAGATGCTGTTTAAAATAAATAAGTAAAATTTGGGTCTGAGCATTTCAGTATTAGACTTGGGGAAGTTGGTCTCCCATTAGGGATCAGCCGTGTCCTGCGTGCGTTGGAAGCTCGCGCTTAGCTCTGTCCGTGGGAGTCCTACAGCAGTGTGTCCTGCCCAAAGAGACCAGCCAGGAGGACAGGCACGATCAACCCATTTGGGGCTCCTTCCCCCACTCGGGTGAGGCAGAGGCTGACCTGAGTCCTGTGGGGCCAGCTCCGGACGTGCGATTTGGGCAGCCCCCGCCCCACACCTGGAATGTAATTGTTGCTTCTTTTACCACAGACTAGATTTTCCTCCGGGATCCTTTAGCAAAAATTTTCCTGCACGTTCCAGTTCTTGTGGACACCTTGATTCCAACCAAGCCCTGCCGCCCTGGGCTCTCCATCTGTCCCCTTCCTCCCGGGGGGATCGAGGTCTCAGCAGCTCTGCCCTGGACAACGAAGTCCCCCAGAGAGATGCCTGCCGAGGGGTGTCACCCTGAGGAGGGAGAGGCTGTGGGTTAGGGTGGCACCGACATCCACAGTGGCCACGACACACGTGCACGCACGCACACAGGACACAGGCACGAAGGATAATCTGACCCAGTGTCACTGGAACTGCTGTGGAGAGTCCCTGAGGACCCGCAGGTGGCCCGGGATCTCCCACAGCTCCAGGCCTGGAACGGGGGCTTTCAGGTGTTTCCTTAGTTTGACGATAAACGCTTCCCTTGTGCTCGTTCATTTTAAGGACGTGGCCCCCGTGTGAAAGAGCAGGTGTCCCAGGTGACAGCGCCCGGGTGTCCTGCAGTGGCGATGCCTCAGCTGCCTGGTCACCGCTGCCCGTGTCCTCCTCCCTGGCGGTCTGGAAGCCACCGTTCCTGCTCCAGCCTCCCCGGTACGCCAGGGCATCTGGAAGCCAGCAATCGTGTCACGGCACCTCGGAGACAACGCAGTCCTGAGACTGCAGGGTCCCTACAAAGTGGTCGCTCTGGGGGCTCAGGAACCCCAACTCATAGCCTCCTGCTGGCCCCAGCCTAAGGCCGGGAGGCCAAACCCTGCTCCACCAAACCTGAGGCAGTGCTGTGCGCTGTCCCCATCTCGGGACCCAGACACCCTGCAGCAGGGGCTTCCTGCCTTCCCTGGGCCTCGGCTGGCCTGGCCTGGCCCTCAGGACGTGCGTGTTGCCTGAAGAGTGAATGAATGAAGGGTGAAGGAGGTTGTGACCTCCGCAGGGCAGTCATGAGAACCAGAAACCAAAAGCACATCTCCTGGGTGCATGTGATGCAGCCTGCAGGGAGATGCACTGACCCACTCACTGTGCGTTTTGGGAAAAGCACTGCTTCACCCCTTCGAGCGTGCTGTGGCCAGAAGAGCTTCAGGGCCCACGTGTGTTCCCAGGAGCCCCTCAGTCTCCTCAGGAGCCAGTCCTGCTCCAGGTGCTGCCAGGGTGTCCGCCAGGAGGCAGGAGAAGCAGGCCAAGCACAGGACACCCTGAGCACCCAGCGCCACCATCCCAGGGGCCTCGGCCCGTCAGGCAAAGCAGGACTCTGCCTCTTCGCCTCCCCACGCAGGCTCAGTTTCAGGCCGGCCCTTCCGGCTAGCTCAGTGTCCACCAGACCAAGGGAAAGAGCACCCCCCAGAGGTGGGGCAGCTCAAGGTAGTAAGGCGGCCACACGTCTGCAGGTCAGAGCCCGGGAGTGAGGCCGTGCAAGGAAGTGACCAGGCCTGGCCAGGGCCACGGACCCAGAGGACAAGAGAGGAAGAGGGAGCATCTGTTCAATGTCTTCATGGTGTGTTCAGTTTCTTCAATCCTCCAGGTCCCTTCTTACCTCAGGGCCTTTGCACATGCAGTTCCTGTTGCCTAAAAAGTTCTTTCCCCGTTCTCCACTGATTCTCCCTTTCTCTTTGGTTCTCATCTCAAAGGCTGCCTCCTTCTGACTCCCAGTCTAATCAGACCCACCACATGCACACATCATGTACACCTCTGCTCTCTCCCAGGAACCCTGTCTGTGTCTCTCTGGGCGCTCACTAAAGATTCATCTGGAGCTGCATGCATGGACCTGAGGGACGCCTATCCCACTCCACCTGGGGACTGTAAATCTGCACTTCTGTCTGCCAGCAGGGACACCATCCTGTGTCCAAGCTGGTATCTCCCCAAGTCCATTCCCTCAGGGACACTCGACATCCCATCCCATGGTTCTTCTGTGGGTCCTTACCCTTCATCGGGCCCCAGCAGCCTCCTGCCAACCCGCCACTCCAAGGGTGACCCTCTATTCACAGCCCTTCATTGGGGGAAGCCCAGAGCTCTCTGCTCCTCAGCCTCCCCTCTCCTGCCAGCCCCTGCGGGACACTGGGGGGCGCTTGACAGTGACTGAATGGGGACACAGTACCTGCTGAGGGGTGCCTGAGTCTCCCAGGCCGGTGGGTGTGGGGCAGCCAGGTGAGGATGGGGCTGAAGCCCCTGTGTTCTGGCTGTATGCGCATGGGCAGTTACCTAATGCCTCCGAGCTTCAGTGCCTCCATCTGTAAAATGGGAACAAGAAAGCTCTTCCCTCACCCAGTCTTGTACAGACTGTGTGACTCAATGCATGGAAAACTGTAAGTCTTCGGCATGGCTTAGCCCTTTGGCTCAAGGCCAAAACTGCTGGTGGGACTGGGCAGGGGTAGCTTGGTTTGGTTTCCCTCTTAGAAAAACAAAAAGGTGCCTCCACTTCTACCTTAAAGGATGGAGCTAAGATGCCCGAGGCCCTTCCAGCCTCTGTAACGAATTCCCGAAGGCTGGGCGCCTGATGCCCCAGGAATTTACCTCTCCCTCCACCCGTCACCCCCACCTCCGCCCCACACCCTGCTCTGGGGGCTGGGAATCAGGCAGGGGCGGCAAGGGAGACTGGGGTGGGATCCTGGCTCCCACATCCTGCCAGGGCACAGTGCAGAGAGACAAGCAGGCGCCCTGAGGACACTTGTGCCATCCAAGAGGACACAGATCTTTGCACCATGGCTGTCAGGACACTGGGCATTTGGCATCCAAAGACCAAGATGCCTGAAACAGGGGAGTCCAGAGCAGTCCTGCTGGTGTTCAGAGGGTGCCAGGCTGTGGGGCTGTGGCACCAGGAAAGGAGCCGGGCAGAGGGGCGCAGCTGGCGGCCAGGGAGCCCCAGGCGCCCAGGGGCATGGGTCCGAGTCTGTAAGCACTGGCTCCAGAAAGGAAGCGGTACAGACTGATTAGGGGGCCCTCCCGAGTGGCCCCTGCCACAAGGACCCTGGTGACACGCAGGGGACAGCTGGGGGACGCTCAGGATTCGGTCCTCTGAGCCCCAGACATGATGCTGCTCGTTCTGGTCCCATCCAGTGAGGCCACAAAGAAACCTGCAAGCACCCAGGCGTTTCCAGTGACAACGCAGAGCTCAAGAGGGCTTCTTTGTGCACAGAAATAACCAGCACCCAGGGAAGCAAAATCCACGGCATTGGGCACCGAATAAGAAAATCACCACGGATTCCGTGAGGAGGAGAGCGTGACCCATACGGAGGAGAAAACACAGGCGTCAAAGCCCAGCGAGAGTGGCCCAGACAGCCCAGAAACAGCGGCAAAGGACGCAGGGGCTGCAGCGCTGGAATTCCAGGCAGTTTGGAAGGAACAGGGCGACCCAGAAAGACAAAGCTGGGATTGTTTAGCGCACACTGGAAACAATTAAAGCCGACTGGGCAGCTGAAAAACAAAAGGGTGAACTTGAAGACATTAGCATTAGAAAGGATAGAAAATGAAACAGAGGCCAGGCCTCCGGGAGGCCGAGGCAGGAGGATCCCTGCAAGCTAGAGGCCGGCCTGGCTACACAGTGAGCCCGATGCCGGCCGGAATTACTACACAGTGAGACGCTGAATCAAAACTAACAGAGTATTACGGAGCTGCGAGACCGCTGAGACCCGGTGCCTGCGCCTACATAGCAGAAGCCCCCCAGGAGGGAGCAGGAGCGGTGAGAGCCCGGACATTTGTGAAGAACTAATGCTCCCAAATATAATGGGAACAGTAAACCCAGGCATGCGGGGAAGTTGGCGAAAATCAAGTGCAAGAAACGTGAAGAAAACCACACGGCAAGCAAATTGTGTACCGGCAGTGAGGAAGGAAACGGTGGGCAGTGCACGCCCGACAGCCCAGGGGCGGGCGCAGTCCTCCAAACACCTAGGGAGATCTGACAACTCCGGCCACGGGGACCCAGACTGGGGCACCTGTTCCCCAAAAGTGAAGAATGAGCTCTAAGGAACGATGGACGGACGTTAGGAGCAGGAAATGAGGGCGAGACAGAAGGGACCCGGAAAATGGCTCCCGCTGGCCCTTTTCTCAAAGGAAGTTTTATGGGGGGAAATCACGAGTTGGTTACAACGTGGGGCAGAACTGTGACCCACCAATAAGATGCCACATGCCCCGCTCAGGAGATGCTGACCCAGTGGGAAGCAGGTCTTTGACAGATGCTCCTCCAGCCACGATGTCGTGTGTTCTCAATCTCTGCAGGGCTCTGCCTGACTGCCTGTATTTATGCCAAACTTAACCCTGTATAACATAAGCACTCCGGGAGGCTGAGGCAGGAGGCTCCCGGGTTTGATCTCGACCCGGACAACTCACTGATTGAACTAGATCTTGTTTATTTAAAAAGCAGCCAGAAGGGACATTTTATAGACAAAGATAGGGAAGATGGCAAAGACAAGGAGAAAGACACAGCAAGTGGCTGGTGTCACACGGCAGGAGATGGTTAGAGGCTGGAGGGACGGGGGAGAGATGTGGCCAGGTGAGCACCCCAGAGGTGACCGTGGCACCAGGAGGCAAGGATTAAGTAGCAGCAGTGCCAGGTGGGACCGAGGATCTGGGAGAGGACCCAGGTCTCCGGCCTGTCTGGCCACTGACCACCCGGATGGGCACCCCAGGGACAGGTACAGAGACAGAGCTGGAGAAGTGGGGTACGGGGGAGCACGTCCCCGGATGATGAGTAGCCCCAAGTTTCACGGCTCAGCAGAGTTTGACTCTGGCCCTAGAGACCTCCACCCTGTGCCCCACCACCTCTACCTGGTGCCATCTCCAAGGCAGCACAGGACGGGTGGGCACGGGCCCTCTGCCCCATGGTGGCCAGCGGCGCTTCTGCCCCTGGCCTTGACGGCTGCCGAGGAGGAGGGAGAAGCAGGGACCCAGTGCCAGCCAGTGAGCCAGCCTGCAGCTGGGGAAGTGGAGGCCCGGCGAAGGCACCGGAGTTTGAGGAGTGGGCCGAGCAGGAGCGAGAGGCCCAGGGAGCCTGAGTCCTGGCAGGAGGGTGCCGGACCTCCCGGCCCCTCACGGGTTTGGTCTTGAGTTCAACCTGGAGCCACCTTGGGGCCGCCTGGGTTTCTCCCAGCCCCGTGCCACCACCCAGCAGGTACCGCCTGGTGCCCCAGGGGGCTGGGCTCAGAGGCCTCCTGTCTGCGTGTGTGACGGGGACAGTGGGAGGTCCCGGGGCCCCGTCCTGTTAGACACTCACTTCCACGGCTTCTCCACCAGCCCTGCCGCAGTGGTGGTGGTGCTGGCCAGCGGCTCCTGGGCCTCTCCTCCCCGCTCCCGGCTCCCTCTGTCCTCTTCCGAGAAGCCTCTTCCTCCAATCACAGGAGCCCAAGGAAGGGTCTGATTTGCATACCCAGGCCCCTCCTCCACTCCCTTCTTATGGGCACAGTTGCCATAGCAACCGGCCCCAAAAGCCTCTTCTCTGCAGTCACCTCGCCTCTTCTGTACAGCTGGAATCCAGAGTCAGAGCTGAAATCTTCATTTGCAGGTAAAGAAACAGGCTCAGAAACGGACAGCAACCTGCCCAAAGGCACACAGCGAATTGGGAGCCACAGGCTTCACTAGAACCCAGGTCTCTCTGTTCCCACACCAGCCCTGGGACTCTGCTGTCACTGAATGAAGCCTGCGGTCTCAGGCACCCAGCAGCTCGGTCCCTGCCCCATACCTTTAGGAGCTGGCGTTTGTCCCATGGTTAGGTGACCGCGCCTTGGCCCAGAGGCCCGAGGTTCAGCCATGGAGCAGAGCCAGCAGTCACAAAGCTGTAGGGGGCTCCCTCGAACCATGTAGGCAGCCGCCCCACTATTCCCAGCTGGCCATGGACGTGGGGTGACCTCAGAAGCTCTGGAAGGTTCTCCCCAAACTGTGCACCAGTCCCAAGTATGCCCTGAAGACAGCCCTTCACCACCTAGTTAGAAAAACAAGGGCTCCCGGAGAAGATTCCCTTCCAGCCCCACACGAGAGTTTTATTTAACTTTTGGTGATGGAACTTTTCCAACAGGTGCGGCAGAGCGTGGGATAGACTTCCCCGCCATGGCCACCACGTCTCAGGTCTCCTGTCCCCCGCTGCAGACGTGCTGTTTTCATGGGGACAGGGGAAGAAAGGGAAGCCGCAGGACGGGTTGGGACAGCAAGGTCCCGGGGAGACCCCGGAGTTAGTAGATCCCCAGGCGAACCTGCTGGAGGACCGAGGGGTCCTGGCTCTGCATGGAGGCAGAGGCCCCGTTTCCTGCCCCGACCCCGCCTCTCTTCGTCCCCCCCCCCTTTCCCCTCACTTGCAATAAAAACATAATTACGGGGCTTTATAAAAAAAAAGGCAAATTATGGTGACACACTTTAATTATCTGCCGAGTGATGGCGGCTGAATTACACAGGCCGGCCTCGGAGGTTACCTAAAAATAAAGCAAGAAGCCTCATTAGATGCTAATTGCTGCTTTTGTCAACCGAAGTGAGATTTGGGCACCGAGTGCCATTCAGCGCGGTGGTGGGGGTGAGCCCTGGAGGCTCCGAGGGCCGGGGCCGAGCCCTGCGGGCAGCTGGGGTAGGGCGGCAGGCAGCAGGGCAGAGAGGAGCTCTCGGTGCCAGGTCAGTGCCTCAGTCTCCCCTCGGTGCTCAGTGGAAATGGGGACTGGGGGAGGGAGGTTAGGGGGGCCAGAGAGCATCTTTGGGGGTCCCTAGGCCCCATGGTGGACTGAGGCTGAGGGGTACCGTGTGCTGTTGACCACACTGCCTCTACCTTGAGGGCCTGAGAAGACAGGCCGGCTGGCACAGACCACGGGACATTAGAAGGAGAAGAAGCCCACTGGGCCGGGAGAAACCTGAGCCCCAGCCTGTCCTCCGTTTGTGCAGCTCTGTCTCAAGATCACAGGAGTTCCACCATGTCCTGTGTGTCCAGCAGTCTGGCAGGTGAGAGGGCTCCTATTCAGGCTGCTAGAACCCAGTCTTGGGTTCTAGCACCACAAGCTTGTGAGGCAGTCCTGGCTTCATGACCCCCACAGCCTGGCCCTCGCCTGGTCCTCGTCTCCGAGGTTCAGAGCTCCTGTTCCAGGGAAGCCTTGCAGGATCCCCAGGAGTGACAGTACCATGGGGCAGAATTGTGGCCACAGCCCTGGGGACACAGCAGAGGCCCAGGACTGCCGGCTTTCTGTCCACTGTGTTAAAATGTGAAGTCCAGAGGACCCTGAGCCCCCATCAGCTGCTTCTGGGAGTCCCATAGGTGCTTAGGGTGGGGACAGCCAGCTGGCCCGAGAGGGACGCAGGGGTCTTCCCCACAGTGCCCCTGGGAAGCCCCGCCCAGGCCCCCCCAGTCACCAGCCCCAGCCGCATGTCTGACAGCCACCTCCCGGCCGGCCCAGGCCTGCACACCCGCTCCCCTCTCCCAGGCCTGGCCACTGCACCCTCCTCCCACTGTTACTTGGGACAACGTGCTGCCAGCCTCGGTTTGGTGCCTCATTGGACCAGGGGCTCCCTGAGGCCACGGCTGCCTCTCCCCATGACGGGGACTGACCTGTGCCTCCTGAGAGACCCAAGCAGGCTGGGGACACCAGATGGTCCGACCCCCACGCAGCTGACCTGGCCCGGTGCTTCCTCAGCCTCTTCCCGTGGCCAGAGGCCTTGACTGCCGCCCCTTCCCGGTGGCCTCTGCCCTCTCCTAGGAGCTGAGGACGGGGTGGGGAGGGAGAGCACCCCTGCCCCCGAGCAAGAAGGTGGCTGCGTCAATGGGCAAGCATGGGCCTAATGTGTCCCCTACCCCAAGGCTCCAGGTTGGGGCTCTGCCTCCATCACCTCAAGAGGGAGCTGGGCCTGGGAGGGGAAAGCAGTGGGTGAGGACCCCCTCACCCCACCTCTGACTCCCCCACTGTTAACCTGGAAGCCTCCGGCAAGCACCCTAGGTCCACAGCCTAGAGCTGTCCAAGGGCTACAGCACAGGGCGGGATCCTCGCTAGCCCCGGGCCTTGGGCACCCGTGCCGGAGGGAGATGTTGGGGTGAGGACCCCAGGTCCCCCTGCCCCAGCTCGGACACTGACTCACATGCACTAAGTACGGGCTCAGCTGGGACACCCCAGGAGCACAGTGGGCTCATGGAGGTCACTAAGAACTTGGGGGGCTGCGCCAGCTGAGGTACTCTGCAGGGGAGAACCGAGCCAGAGAGAGAGAGAGAGAGGAGAGCCTCATTACAGGGTGAGACAGGAGGGGCAGACTGAGTACCTGCTTCCCTCGGGACGAGGCCCCACCCAGCCCTCCCACCCTCAACTCCAAGGCCCTGGATTGGGGTCACCCCGACCCTCGGTCCAGCAGCAGGACCCACAGTGGAGGCGGAGCCCAGGTGCAAAACCATGTTTCTCTTTATTAGAAATGTTCTCGGTATAAAAACGGTCATGCGCTGCACATCGCCATCAGTAACCATCACCAGACACCCAGGCACTGAACTCCGCGCGGTCAGCAGGAGGAGGGGCAGGCGGCAGGCGGGCGGGCGGGACACAAGGCAGGCGGGCGGCCGCGGGGACACACACACAGGCCACCAGGGGGGCGCGGCACTTGCAACACACTCGAGATTTGTTTTTCTTTTGGCTTTTTTCTGTTTTGACTTTTTTTTTCCCCTTTTTTGTTTTTCATTTGCGACATGGACGATTTGGTGGAGCGGTGGAAGGCGTGGGAGTGGACAGGAGCGGGGAGGAAATGCGTGGATAGGACGGGCGGGAGGCACAGCAGACGGAAGGAACCACGGAAGGAACCACGGCAGCTCGAACCAAACGGACAGACGTGCAGAGAAAACAGGCGGGGACAGAAACCGGAGAACGGAAGGACAGAAACGGAGATGGACGGACGGATGGACAGACGGACATGGCGACCTGCAGGACAGATGGATGGGGAGAGGACAGAGAGAACCAGCGCTGGGCCCCCACGCCCTGAGCCCTGTGCTCGGTGGCCTGCAGCAGCGCCAGAGACGGAGGAGGCTCTTACAGAGTCCCGAGCTGCCCGGCCCTCAGCCGCCTCCTTCACCCGCCCAGCTCGCCCGGCTCCAGCAGTGACGGCCAGGGCTCCGCTGTGCTCAGCACCAAGCCACGTCTGTGGGCGCCCACGGGCAGCAGGACATCATCAGCTGGGTTCTCGCGTGTGGCCGCGGCTCCTCCTGGTCCTGCGTGGCTCCGGCAGCCTAGCTAGATGGCATGGTTGGTGTAGGTGACGTATGTCTGTTTGGTGGCCAGCGCTAGAAGGAGAGACCAGGGGAACGCAGGAGTCAGGGGCTGCCTGTGTCACGCGCTCCTTCCCTGCAGCCCCTGCCCTGCTGCAGGACCTGCCAGGGCTCCCTACGACCTGTGGCGTCCACCCTGTCCTGCCACCCCCATTCCTGGGTCTCGGCACAGCTTCCCACCCAGGGTGCCTCCTCCACCCCGGGCCTCACCCGTCACCCCACCTCTGAGCCTCCCCCACAAACCCTGTCCTTTGGACACTGCGCCCCACCCCTCCGAGCCCTGCGGTCTCCTAACACCCTAAAATACTCTTCATTTGTGCAGCCTTGACTTAACCAGGAAGGGTCATCAAAGGGACAGCACACACACAGGCCGGGGAGGCGGGGACCAGGACACAGGAAACAGTGCCAACCAGAGAGCCTTTGCTCAGCTAGAGACCGCGGCACGGGTCGGAGCAGTCCTGTGGCCCACGCCCAGGAAAACACAAGGGCCCAGGTCCCTGCCGCCCTCCAAGTGCCATCCTTTCCTTTCTCAGGGTCCCTGTCCCCCATCAAGCTGGATACTTCTCACCCACATCTCGTGTCTCCTGTGTCTCCTGGCCACAGCCCGTTGGCAGTGGGCTCTACAGGGTCCACCCCAGCGTCCATTTTTGTTTTTTTGTTGTACGGATTGGGACTCAAACTGAGGACCTCACGCTTGCCAGGCGGGCGTTGGTGCTGCTGAGCTGCATCCCCAGCCCCACAGTGTCCGTTCCAGGTGGTGACATCAGCAATCATGAGTGTCCCTACCCAGTGGAGCCAAAGACAGGTCTCCCCCATTTGACAGATGCCTTCTGGGATCCGGGGACTCTTTTCAGCCACTAATCAAGGGTCTCCAGCAAAGAAGCCAGACAGAAGAAAATCACTCTATCCTTTGCCTTAACGCTGCCCCAACTTGCTCTTCCAGGTCCTGTCAGCTCACCAAAGGGGATGTGAGCACCACCGTAAGAGGAAACTGGGGCGGCAGTGTGGCAGTCTGCAGATTTTCTGCTCCAAGCCCAGCCAAGCAAAGGACTACATTTCCCAGCCTCCCTTGCAGCTAGACAGGGCCTCATAGGCTGCCATCTTGCTATTAAGGTAAAGCAGGCTCCACCCAACTCCCATACCCCATGACCGATGCAGAGCCTCTGTCCTTCTCCACTCCCCGCTGGAGGACAGTGGCATCAGCCTTGGGCCTCTGGGAGCCCATGGAGCAGCAGGGCAGAAGGACTGTGGGCCGCACCACAAACGAGCCCCCTTGTCATTGTCCCAGGACTTCTTAGTCACAGCAGCGTAATTGAAGCCCATGAACACAGACAGGATTCCTGGGTCTGAGTGGAGGAGCCTGCTGGGGACAGGGTGAGCCAAGGGGCCACCAGGCAGGCGGTGAGGGAGCCACCAGGTCTCCAGCAAGGCAGAGAGGAACAACAAACTGAGCTACGGGTAGTGAGCTCCTTGCCTGCAGAAGTATTCAAGCAGCGAGTGGACATTCACTCAGCTGGACAGTGGCGGGAAGTTTCCAAGTTCGGCTGCCACCTGAACAGGTGTCACGGGACCATGACATCCAGAGAAAGCATCAGAAGACAGCACGGAGCACCCCAAAACACACACAGAGTTTATTAAAAAAAAAAAAACCTCCCCCATCTCTGCAGGTGCCAGGTGATAAGCACAGCATCTAGCGCCCAGCCTGGGAGGGGACTCCACTCGCTCGGGAAAGGAGGACAGGCCGCGGTGGCAGGTGTGGCTCAGGAGGAGGAAGGTACAGGGAGGCCTCGCCCTGTACTGCCTTTGCTGCTGGGCCTCAGTTTCCCTGCTCGTGACACCAGCAAGCAGGTGGCCCTTTTTGCCCAGACTCCCTTTCCCAAGGGGCTGCGGCCCCCCTAGTGCCTGCACCCCATCTAATCCTCCAGTCAGGAAGCAGTCCAGCGGCTCAGTGCACCCCCAGCCCCGCCTGCAGGTCAGGCTGGTGCGAATCTGTCCCCAGGGCGCCATCCGCCCCTGGGTGAACCGAGAAAATGGAATCCCCAACGGTGAAGCCCTGGGCAGCTCTGCCAGGCAGTGGAGGTGGTGGCTGACGCCCAGAGGCTGCAGGGGAGATATGGCCCAAGGCGCCCCAGGCAGGGGTGCGGGAGAGGAGGGCTGGCCGTCCTCCGCTGAGTCACCGCTGTCCCCTGGAGAGTCCCACCCAGCCCCAGCTACCTGCCAGGGCCCAAAGTCCTTTAGGAACCTCAGTTTCTCCCTCCAGAAAATGGGAGCAGTGAGTCTGCCAGGGACCCCGAGAGCTAACAGTGAGGCTGAAAGGGAGCCTGGCCTGGGCCCGTCCTGCTGGACGCTAGGGACATCTCAGCACCCGGCACATGGCCCGGCCAATGCCTGACCCCAGGCGCTGCAGGCTGCTCCTCTGGAAACAGTGACACCCAGAGCCAGCTCAGCCAGGAGCTACAGAAAACACCCTGAACCCCATGCGGTGAGTGTGGCAGGGCTGAGGTCCCCAAGCCATGGACAGGTGGGGACAGTGACACCCAGCAGCACCTCAGCGCGCACCCTGTGGACGCTGCCCCTCCCCACCGGCTCCCAGGTACCTGCAGCCCAGATAACAATCAGCTGGGTGGCGTGAGGCACGCGCTGACAGCCCCCATTTGTCGCCCTGGGTCTCCACGCCCAATCTGCCTGCCATCGGGCCCCTAAATTATTTATTTATTCTGTTGTTTGTTTAAAGATATGTAGCCTGCCTGTGACAGAGTGAAAAATGTCCCTGCTTCACAGGAGTGACACCTCGCTCCTCCTCCGGCGCACACCCCCTCCATCCAGCTGTCCCTGGCATTAATCACGGGCACCTCCGTGGCCCCTGTCACCCAGCTGAGAGGTAGTGGGGGTTAGGGTGCCGCTGTCCCCAGCCTCCTCTATGAAGCACTGGGCTGTCACCCTCCCCTGGCAGGAAGCAGGGGCTGGGACGCCACCCCAGCAGGCCTTGCTGCCTGGCTCAGGCCTGAGCAGACACAGAGGGGACAGTGCCACTGTCTGGGAAGGCCGCCGCCTTCTGTGGTCCCTCTGGTCCTCAATGTCCCCCTCCAGGTCGCTAAGGTCCACTCAGGAGAGTGGGGCTGGGAGACTAAGGTTAGTGGGCACTCCATGGGGATGCTCTGCCCCCTTCTCCATCCAGAGCCCATGGTGACCCCAGGGGAGGGTGCAGGGGGCAGAGGGGTGAGCTGTGCCCCGGAGAGGAGGAAGGCCAGTGAGAGCCAGAGGTCAGCAGGGAGGGAAGGCAAAGTGGACAGAGAGAACCCGGGAGAAGCCAGCTGTGCCATGCGGCAGGGGGTGGGGACCCCAGAGACGGCCACACAAAATTAGGGGACAGCATGGGGCGCCAGACACCCTTCACCACATGGCAGCCGGAGAGACAAGCACCACCCAGACACCACAGGCTCCGGGGAAAGGTCCAGGGCCCCCCTGTGGCCCTCAGCTCTGGAACTCCTCATGGACCCAGCAAATCTCCCGAGAGGGGTGGGGGAGGGAGGCAGCAGGACCGAGGAGGGAGCCGGCTTGGGGCGGGGCGGGGTAGCCAGACACCCTGCCCATCCCTCTCCACCTGAGCAGTGCAGGCCGGGGGGGCCCCCAAGCTGGCCGAGGAGGAGGCAGCAGGTGGCAGTGGGGGCGGCAGCCTGGAAGAGCCCTCGCCTTTTCTGGGCCTTAGCATCGGGCACATGACAAAGTCCCGCCTTCGGGCCGCTGCAGGGCAGAAGCTGGCAGGCGTAGGTCTGGCCCACGGTAAGGGCAGGCGAACAGGACCAAGACTGCCCAAGACGCCCCGGGCTGCGCCCCTTCCCCTCCTCCACCCGCCCCAGCCGGTGCTGGGTGTAGGGAGCCGGCACCTCCCAGCGCAAGCTCACCCTCGAGCCTCCTGAGCACACCCCGGGGACACACCAGCCGCTGCCCCCTCACTCACCTGTCCCGGTGGCCCACATCCCGGGTCCCCATCTCTCTGGGCCCTGCTGGGGGGTTGCTGGGCAAAGCCACGCTGCCAGCCACAGCGGCTCTGGCCCCAGGCCCCTGCCGGGGTCCCTACCAAAGGGCCGGGCAGGGGTCTTCTGAGCAAGGGTTGCCTCCCCGAGGGACTGGATTTGTGGGCACAGGCGGCAGCCTGGCGCAGGGCAGGGAAATCTGGGTCTCAGGGCCCGGCAGCAGCTGAGTGCACCTAAGGCCGGGTCCGGGCCTAAGGGGCGGGACTTTGAGGGGCGTGTCCTGTGTGGGCGGGGCCTCGTGTGGGCGGGGCCGGCACTCACCTGGGGCCTCCAGGTTTTCACACAGCTCGGATTTGGCCTCCCCGTTGGGTCGGAAGTTGCCTTTCTGCGTGAACTTGTTGGACATGGTGGCCGCAGTGACGACGGCTTTGAGGCTGCGCTTGCGCTTGGGCACGTTCTGCTCCGGGTGGAAGAGGATGATGTAGACCTTGGGCATGTAGAGCATTCCCAGGGACACCGAGGCGCTCAGACTCACCGAGACCGTCAGTGTCGTCGTCTGGATGTACAGCTGTGGGGGTGAGGGTGGCATCAGGTGGCACCTGCGCGGCCTGGAAGGCCTGACCCATCTTGCGCCCACCCTGAGACTCCTCGCCCTGTGCCCTCTGGCTGCTGGCAGAAGGGTCCATGGTGCGGGTCTGGGACTCGAGACCAGGCTCCCGGACTCACGTCCTTGTGCCTCGGCTTCCTCGTGTCTGACATGGGCATGCACACTGACTGGCTCAACGCTCAGGTGTCCGTGAGTGGCAGTGCCATGCCCGTGCTGCCTCCTCCCTAGGGACCACAGCCAACAGGGAAGTCCCCAGCCCAGGCTGAGGGTGGGCGAGAGCTCTGAAACGCGTCCCAGTGGCAGTGCTGCCCCCCGCGGACCGGCTCCTCATTCAGGGGCTGCCCGCCACACGTGCCGCCTGGCAGCACAGGCCCTCAGCGTGGGGGCACGCAGCAGTCTGGTGGCAGCAGCCCCATCAAAGCCCATTTCATGCTCGCTCGCCAACACTAATGGTGACAGATGTTTAGCAAAATGAAAGCCCGTACATCCGGGTGTCAGAGAATCCATTCTTCAACAGGGAGCCTTCCAGGCGGGGCCCACAGTTCCTGCCTCCCCCAGCTGGGGTTCCCAGCCTGCCTCCTCCAACCCTGCACGTTCCCCAGGCCTCAGCTTCCCTCTGAACCCCTCAGCCGGAGCAGAGCCAGGGGAGGCCCGAGCGGTGCCTGGGGTGTTGTCATGGAGGCAGCAGCAAAGGCTGAGCCCTCATGGCTTAGGCCTGGGCCCGCCCCAGGAGTGGCTGTGCCACCTCCTCCAGGAATCCTTGCCCACCCTCCCTGGGGGGGTACACAGACCCCGATGTGCTTTCGAAGGTGATCAGATTGTGGGGGGCCCTACTCGTTTGTGGGTCCATCTGCCGCTGAGTTCACAGCTGGTCACTGGGAGTGCGACCTGGAAGGGCGCGTGCCTGGCCCTGGGTCCTGCCTCCTGCATGTTTCCCAGCTGCCAGGGACTGAGCGGCTTTCTCCCGCCAGGCCCCTCCACCATGCTGTTTCTGCCCTGGACTGAGCCCTCTGAAACTGAGCCAAAATAAATCTCTCCTCCTTTACACTGTGAGTGTTAAGGGTTCTGTCCCAGGGACGGGAAAGGGACTCATGCATACCACCACTCCCGGGCCATGAGGTCCGCCAAGCAGTGGCCTGGGTGAGGCAGGAGCAGGCCTGTCACCCAGCTCTGCACTGTTGCACTAGGACTTGCCGGGGTCAAGCCGGTTACCTGTTGTGCAAGGTAAGCTCCACTGTGTCAACTCCCTTGGCTGCGGAGCCATCTAAAAGATTAGTAAAACACAACCCTGGGTGCATCTGGGTGGGTCACGAGGGCCTAATGCAGGGCTGTGTCTGCTCCTCTGCCCCTTCCTCGTTGGCCCTCTTCCCTGCGGAATCCTGCCACCGTGAAAGAGCCAGCTTTGTCCCACCATCCCTCCAGCCGTGATGCTCCTGCCTTAGAGGCTGCTGGCCATGGACCAAACCCTCCGAAACCGTAACCCTCCTCTGTTAAACTATGGGGCTCGACTGTTGTGCTCTAGGGATGAGGACTAACACACCTGTCTTACACCCTGTGCCTCCGCCCTGTCAATGGGTGGTGTGTAACTGAGCTTATATGGACTTGGTGGCACCAGGGATCAGACCCCTCTGGCAGTGGACACTGACCACCCTGCATTAGGTAGGGGCCAGGAGCCTGGCTTCCAAGGCCATCCTGCCCTGGCCCGCAGTGGGATGCTGGGCAAATGTGCTCCCCCTCTGGACAGCAGGGACCCTCACCATTAGTTCAGGCAGCACCCACTTCATGGAGCCTCTGCTAAGAAAGGGCACGCTTGGTCTTGGTCTAATGCCCAGCTGCTGCTGTGAGGAGTTCTGAGTGACATCTGGACAGGGCCCTTATTACGCACCAGGCCCTGAAGACAATGGTGCCCACCCCGAGTACGGGCACCAGCACAGACACTGGCACAGCTGAGACTCTTTCTGCAAACAGCACTGGGGAGAACCCGAGCAGATCAAACTGGAGCCAGCCTGGCCAATCCTCTGTAGCCCTCCTTCCCAGCATGCCCCTGGGTCCGGAACCCCCACCCGCCCCTGAGCCTGCCCCTGGCTCCAGCATGGTTTCTGGGTCCCCTGTGCCACAAGGAGGTGGTAGCAGTGAGCCTTTCTCAGAGGAGCATGGTGCTCTAGAATCCAACAGGCACCGGGCCGGGCAGGCCCAGGGGAGCTTCTTGTTTCTCTGGAGACAGGGGCTCACTGTGTAGCTCAGGCTGGCCTTGAATTCACAATGTAGCCCAGGCTGGCCTTGAACTTGCAGCCATCCTCCCATCTGTCTCTCCAATGCTGGGGCCAGGAAGGCCGTAAAGCCAGCAGAGAGAGGTGGCCTCAGGAAGCGACCTCTCCTTCTCTTCCATTTGCCCATCCATGGGCCTGGTCTTCCACTATTCTTGCCCATGGTGGCCAGGCTGTGCCACTCCACCCTCTGCAAGGGAGTTGGCACCAGGCCTGCACTCCCTGAGGAAAGGAACTGGCAGAGCTGGGCTGCAGATGGAGGAAGGGCTGAGCCTGTGACACTGTGGACCACGAGCTTCCCGCTGTCTTGCTGGGCTGGTGGACACGGGGTGGGGGGGCAGGGGCTGAGGCCCTAGACTGCCTGACAGGGACCAAGAGCCTCAGAATCTACAAATCAGATGCACAAACGTCACCACACCCCAGCCAGCCTCCACACCCAGTCCTGCTTGCACCTGGCTTCACAGGAACCCCGGGCAGCTGAACTCGAGCTGCACGCTCCTACCTGATGCACACACACTTCACACATGCAGTACACAGAGACCTTCAAACATAGCCATTGTGTACTCTCACTCCTGCAACCACACAACTGCACACCCGTGTGCAAATTCACAGTTGGGCATGCACACTCAATCTGCTCACACATACACACAGAATCCCAAGGCACATACCATTGCATCCACCTGCATCAGAGGGCACACACATCTGTGCACACTCACATCTGTGCACATACACATCTGCACACACTTCTATGCCTGTCCTACCTCCTGACAGCAGCCCTGCCCACTTCCTCTCTCTTTCTCACACACACACACACACACACACCTGTGGCCGCAGCTGCAGCTTACATGTGGCTCTGACATGCACAGCTCAGAGGAGACCTGAGTCACACAGAAGCCTGGCACCTGCGCCAGCGGGACTCAGAACTCATCTGCTGCAGCTGGCTCCATTTGGAGGTCTGGGAGGCAGCTCAAAGGGGCAGAGCTGGGGACCTCAGTCACACATCCACAAGCCAGCTCTGAGTGACAGGGCAGAGCTCTGCCTCTCTGGGACTCTGGAGGGATCACCCAGGCTCCAGCTGTGGCCAATGCCGAGAGGGCCCCTAGGGACACCTGAGAGGTGGTGGACAGCCTGGAGAGCAGGGAGCTTGGAGGGCTGGGTGCATCTGGGGTGAAGGGTCTGACATATTGGATCCCCTGGAACCCCACCAGGAGGGTGCTGGTCAGAGGAGGAGGAGCTTGGCTGCCACACTGTGGCCTACCGGCTGCAGACCTGATGACCCCCAAGAGATGCTCGATGGTACCTCCTGGCCAATGCAACAACTCCTTCCTCTCTACAGACCCAGATTCTACCCCCACGGTTCAGCCAAGCACTCATCACAATGCCAGAAGGGCTGCAGGGCACAGAGCGCCCCTCCCCCCGTGGGGAAACTGAGGCCAGAGAGGCCTGATGTCTTGTCCAGATCCCAGGTAGTCACAGCCCACACGATGCCTGCTTCAGTGACTCCTGAGCCTCCCTGGTATCCAGGCAGTGCCCAGGCAATGATGTGGGCAGAGCTCATAGGATCCCTGGAGTATGTGGACCCTCAGGTCAGGCAAACAGGGCTACAGCCCCAGCTGGGCAGGGAGAGTCCTCAGCTGGCACCGCTCAGCCCCAGGCTCTTGAACCCCAGGGCAGTAAGGGGCTGGGGCGAGAGGGGACCCATCTGTTTCACACCACAGGACTCACAGGGGGCCCTGGAGGGGCGGGCAGAGGACGGAGCGCACCCAAAGGAAGACAGGGCTGGTCAGGCGGGGCCTAGAGAGGATGAGGAATGAGAGGGCGCAGCACCCTCAGCTGAGAGAGGAAGGAGCCAGGGAGAGGGACGGGAAGGACACAAGAGAGCAGGCAAGGAGGGAGAGAGGGAGAGAGAAGGCAGAGAAAGGGGCCGAAGGGGGCAGAGGAGGAAGAAGGAGAGACGAGACCCGCAGGGCAACAGGGAGGAGCAGGGGAAAGGAGGGGAAACAGCACCAGGAACAACGCTGGGAACCGGCAGCCAGAAGCCCAGCGAGGCCCGGGAGGAGGCGCCAGGGAGCGGGAGCAGCCTGCGCTGGGGGCGCCACAGGCTGCGCTGGCCTCCCCGCCCGCCCACTGCACACGCACCTTGTCAGCCGACTGCGAGGTGCCGAAGAAGATGGGGATGAAGGCGAGCCACACGATGCAGGTGGTGTACATGGTGAAGCCGATGGGCTTGGCCTCGTTGAAGGTCTCAGGCACGCCCCGGGTCTTGATGGCGTACACGGTGCACGTGACCATGAGCAGCATGCTGTAGCCCAGCAGGCAGATGAGGGACAGGTCCGAGATGTCGCACTTGAGCACGCCCCTGGCGAAGCGGGGGTCGAGCGTCCGCTGGTCCTGGAAGTCCACCACGGAGTGGGACGGGTCCACCACGAACCACACGCAGATGCCCAGCAGCTGCAGCGAGATGAGGCTGAAGGTGATGGCCAGCTGCGAGGCGGGGCTGATGAAGCGCGGGGCGCTCACCGACCGCTTGCCCTGCTCGAAGATGCGGTAGATGCGGTTGGTCTTGGTGAGCAGGGCCGCGTAGCTGATGCTCATGCCGAGCCCCAGGAAGATCCGCCGCAACGAGCAGGTGCCCAGGTCCGGCTCGGCGATCATGAGGAAGGTGGTGGCATAGCACAGGAAGATGCCCGCCAGCAGCACGTAGCTCAGCTCGCGGCCCGAGGCCTTGACGATGGGCGTGTCGTTGTAGCGCACGAAGGTGACCACCACAAACAGCGTGGCCGCGATGCCCACCACGGCCAGGAAGAGGGGCAGCACAGCCCAGGGCGAGCCCCACTCCAGCTTGATGATGGGGATGGGCCGGCAGCCCGTGCGGTTCTCTGTGGGCCGCATGTCGTAGGGACACGTCTTACAGGTGTAGCGGTCCACCTGGTACTGGTACCCAGTGCAGGGCTCGCAATGCCAGCAGCAGGGCATGCCCTTCACGGTCTTCTTCCGCTCTCCCGGCTGGCAGGGCAGGCTGCAGATGGAGCGGGGCAGCTGCTGCCCACTGCCCGGCCAGTGCATCCGCTCTATCTGGCAACGAGAGCACCGCACAGCAGCCTCAGGACGCCAGGCCCAAGTGCCCGGGACTGTGCCCAGGGCCCTACTGCCCTGCCCTAGAACTAGCCAGGAGTCTAGCCGCCGGGACTCCCCCTGGGCTTCCTGAACCCGGCAGCTGGATGGACGCAACTGCACTCCCTGTGACTCAGATCTTACTGTGAGAACCAAAACCCCGCAGGACTCGGGAGGAGCCGAGCCAAGAGAGGAGCAGCGGTAGTCCAGGCTCACGCAGGGCCCCAGTGACGCAGCAGGGGGACTCGGGGTCCTGACGCCCAGCCCTCTGAGGTCCCGCTGCCCACGACGTCCTGCGGCGTCCACCACCAGCACTTGCTGGAAACGCACACTTCGGGCCTTGTTCCAACAACCCCTGCCCTGTGACTCCTGAGTCTGCTAATTGAGGGGCCTGGGGAGCCCTGCTCGGCAGAACAGGGCGTAGATTCAATCCGAGGACACCGGCTCTGCGCCCGGCATTAGCATCTCTCTACCTCTCTCCCTAGGTCAGGGCTGCTCGTAGGGCCTGCCCCGCCCCACAGAGTGCCTTACGTTACTGGACCTTGAGGGAGTAGCCCTGGCTCAGCGCAAGAGCTGGCTCGGTGAGCGCACCTGGCTGCACCAGCACACGCACATGGCAGGTGCTAATTTTGAGAAACACCGCCTGCCAGACTGGGGCCTGGGCCAAGGAAGGGGCAGTGCTGGGGAGAGGATCCCAAGAGGACCTCACAGCGAGGGGAAAAGGAAACCTCGGTGACATGTGGGTGCTGCCGGATAGGCCACCCCAGCAGCCAGGGTGCAGCATGGCCAGGCCGGTCCCGCCGGAATGACCCCAGCGAGGGCTTTCCCGGGATGCAGGAGGACGGCAGGTGCCCTGGAAGACTCAGGCTCCAGGGTCAGGGCAGTGAGGGACGGTCACACCCTACGGTCACATGTGCCGCTCGGCAACCTTGGGCTCCGGGCCTCCTCTCCACCATTTGATCCAGCAAGCGATAGCAGGGCAGAAGCCGCCTTGTCCTGCTCCCCAGGACGACCCCCACAGCAGTCGAGGGGATGCTGCGTTCATGTCTCACCAGGACGGCAGATCTAACCGGGCCAAACCTGCAGCCCCACCGCACAGGAGCCCAGGGAATTGGCGAGGACAGCCAAGGCTGGGCAGTGACACCCCTTGGCTCCCACCCTTCAGCTCCATCGGGGACAGGGGCCAGGCCATGGGGACGGTTTGCCAGGGCGAGGGGCCTTGTACCCCTGCAGAGGGGGAGGACACCCCTGCACACGCAGCTCCGCCTTCAGCCCCCACGTCTGGGAAACGAGGACCAGGACAGCGCCTGCCTCATGGAGTGGACCTTCGCACAGTCCCGAGGGGAACTGGATCAGAACCAGAGCCTGCATGCAGCGCAGCTCGGGCGGGACTCGAAGCTGCTGCTCCAGGGAATTGGATTCTGCACCCAGACACTGCCCTCTGCACCCACACGAGCCACCTACCCTCTCGGTCCTGTCTCTGCCGTCACAGGAGGGGGCTCTGCCCTGCCAAGCCCCAGAGGACCCCCTGTGTCCCCAGGGCTGGGTTCCCTAAACATCTCCACTGGCCCAGAAGGCTGTGGGGCTATGTGGGGGTTTCACAGGGGGCAGCAGGGTGGGGAGCAGCCCCTCTGAGAGCCCAGGAATCCCAGGGGTCACAGCTCACCCTTCCCCCCAGCAGGGCAAGGATTGTTCTTGGGCACCGACTGCAGGGCTTTGTCCTGAAAGCACACCCAGAGACACCCAGTGGGGCGCTCTGTGAGTCGGGGCTGTGGGGCTCAAATAGCTCCCCGGCCAGTGGTCAGTGCAGACCCCAAACCTGGGCCTTCTGCCTTGAGACTCTGTCCTCCATCTGAAGCAGCCCCACTGCCCTCCCACGCCCAGCAGCCTCTGGTCCTCTCCCTGGGTGCAAACTCATCCATGGGAAGCATCCTAGCCAGTGGGTCACACCAGGACAACCCAGGCAACAGGAGAACAGGGCCAGAATGGGCAGCAGAAGCCCAGCTGCCCTCTTTTTTTCTTTCTGGGGTGCCGGCCTCAGCCTCTGGGGTCTGGGAGCAGGGCAGGGAAGGAAGTCCCTGCTGGGGAGCTGGGGCCCCAGGGTCCAGGTCATCCAGCCTCTGCCCCTCCCGCCCCCGCCCCGCTTACTCGGAGGTGCAGGTGGTCGGTCCAGGAGCCAATGGCCTTGTACTCAGCCGAGCCGTTGCGCAGCTGGTACTGGTAGATGTCGTAGCGCCCGGGGGCATCTCCATTCTCATTGAAGGTCACGGGGTTCCCCGCGATGCCTGTGGGGGTGAGGTCTCCACTAGGCTTTTATCCGGAGGCAGGGAGGATGCCGGACTCAGGGCAGAGACAGCTCTGGGGAGGTCTCGGGAGGGGGCATCCTGGGGGTCTCCACGCTCAGAAACATCTGAAGAGACCCCCGCTCCCTCCCTGCAGGGCCCGCACTGCGCCCCCACCTGAGAAGTTGACGTTTCGGATGTACTTAAGCAGCTGGGTGCCGTCCACGGGGTCCATGCGAGGACAGAGCCCCACACGGCCAGGACACAGGTCTCGGTGCATGGCGTGCAGCGCGTGGCCCATGGCGTACACGGCGTCAATCACGAACTGCACCTTCCCCTCCTGCTCGTATGCGGAGTCCTGCCCGATGCGCTCCCGGTCTGCAAGGAAACACCCGGCACAGGTGCCCGTGACCCCTCCGCTCTCACAGCAGTGCCCCGGGTGCCAGAGCTGACCCTGAGGCCCAGGGGAGCACAGGGTGCCCAGCCTGTGCAAACCCAGCCCAGGGCCTGCTCTCCCTCCCCAGGGGTGGGTTCTGTCACTGGGTAAAGGCAGCCTGGAAGTCTTCCTGGAGGAGGTGGTGGCTTCAAACCCCAGACATCTGCTCTTTGTGGTTACAAATCACACATCAGCCCTCTGATTCTCCCAGCGGTGCTCTGAAGTGAGCGATCATCTCCATTAGAGGTGGGGAAACTGAGGCACAGGCAGGCAAGGAACATTGCAGGACCCTACAGAGCTGATCTGAATGTAGAGGCTCCAGCTCTCAGCCTGTGCACTGTGCTGGGGAAAGTGGGGTGTGACTGGGGACCCCAAAGTGACAGCAGAGGAAGGGAAGAGATAGATGGAACTCCAGGAAAGCCCATCCACCCTCCCAAGACTACAGCACTGCACACAGCACGGCCCAGCCTCCTTCTCAAGGGCAGGACCAGGAGGTGATGCCCAGAGCCCGTCTCAGCCTGCTCTCCCTGCTGCGGGGCACAGGCCACACAGGCCCCTACAGGCAGCCGGAGAGGGCTGCACCATCCAGGCTGGCCTGGGTCGCACTTGGCCCCGCGTCCCTGGGACCTCACTCTGTACGGCTACCCCACCTTCCACCCACCTCACCCCCAGCAGATATGACAGCAGCCATCTGTCAACCCTCAGCCAGCCTGGACACTCATTGACCCCGCTGCCCAGGAGCCCACACTGTGTTCAGCCTGGCTCAGGGTGGACAGCCACGGGCAGCCAAGTGGACCCTGGAAACCACAGCATCACCATGGCAGGGATGGCAGGGCCACTGCGGCCCCCTTCTCCAACTGTCCTTCTATGGATGAGAAGGCTCATCTGGGGCCCAGAGAGGGGAGCTCCAGGTCACACAGCCAGAAGCTGAGCCTGTCAGTGAAAGGATGAGCACCCCAGCTCCCCAGAACCCCCTCCTCCCGCCCCGGTCGCACTGGCCTCGGTCCTCACCCACACCGAAGCAGTTAGCTTTGCTAACAGGCAGAGCTATTTCTAGGTCAAGGCACAGGCAGGAAGAAACATGAGACAGATTCCCGGGCTTCACCATGCTGCCTGCTCACCCAGACCTCTGATCACAGGGTTCTGAGAGCCAGGAAAGGGAGAACAGGGACATCGCTGTGCCCTGAGGGCAACAGAGAGGTCTGGGGGTGGGAAAGCCACTCCTGCACCAGGCCCAGCCTCAGGCCCGAGCCCAGGCCCAGAAGAGCACAGGACTCCTCCACAGCCCCCCACACCTCCCTGGATCCGGGTGAGGGATAAATTATTAAGCAGGGACAGAGCAGGCTGCGGCCACTGCGGAGGAGACACACTGGCTCCCAAGGCCAAGGACGCCGGACGCGGACGTGGTGCAGCTCACCTGCCCGACCCCGGGGTTCCTCCTCCAGGTCCAGCTGAATCATTTGCTCCTGAGCCACTGAGCCACCACTGAGCGTAAAGGCCCCACAAGATGCAACGCTGGCAGGTCAAAGGGCCCTCCCACCACCCCACCTCTGGGGTGCCTGCCCAGACCTGGAGTCCTTATGCTGCTGTCACCCTCTGCAGGTCTGCAGGAGGCAGCTGCAGGGAAGGGAGGGACTCAGGGGAGGGCAGGGACCCCGCAGCTTGGGGAGACAAGCAGACACGCGCGTCTGTGAGCTACTGAGGAGATAAATTCAAGATACATGGCAGCAGTGACAGCAGCAACAGTTCGAAGATGTCCTAATTGTGTCCCGGGGCACAGCGAGGCAGAGATGGGTTTGGCTCCTCCACGGGTGACAGCCAGCCAGGGACCCAGAGGGAGGATTTTCTCCCTCAAACCCGGGAGCCGTGGTTACTACGGTGACTGCAGCCTTTGTCTGCAGGTTGTAAATTGTAATTGAAATGCGTTTTCAAGGTTGAAATAATCAGAGTCCTCATTGTGTCCCCCTCACCTCCTCACGGCTCCCGACTCTGCCCACCCACCCTGCCGGCCGGGATCCCGAGGCCCACACTACGCTCATGCAGGGTAACCAGGTCCACTGTGTGGGCGCAGCCACCAGTGTACACACTTCTGCACACACACGTGCTCAGAAGGTATCCATGTACACACACACGGTGTGCACACAGCCACACATTTAACTCAAATGGGTCACTCACTCGGTCACCCCGTCCAGGGCTGGGCAGCCCCGGCAGCAGCTCCTAAGGAGTACAGCACACAGGTGTCCTGTTCAGGAGGGGACACACAGAGGGGGTCAAGGGGCGTGGAACACCACACCATGGTATTTTGGGGGGGCGGTGGGAGTCGACAAGGTCACCATCTTGGGGTGACACCACTCACCCGGTGTGGGCAGGGCCCTTGACTCCCAGGGGAGCCAGACACCTGGACCAGGAGGGAGCGCGGAGCCCTCCCGCACAACCCTGCTGACCCCGGGAGGAACACCGGTGGCAGGAGCTGAGACCTCAGTTCCAGTGGTGACTTCCGGGTCACTTCTCGATGCCAAATTTAAAAAGACCCTCATGGAGCGCCCAGGTCCCCCAAAGTCTGACCTAAAGAACATTCCCCAGATGTCTATAGACCCCAGTTTGAGGAGCAGCACATGAACATCTGGGTCCGATGGGCCAGCCAGAAGGCCTGCCTGGCCCCCGCTGGGTCCGGTGGTCTCTGAGCTGTGCACCCTGCCTGTCACTCTGTCCTCTGGCTGAACCAATCTGCTGGGATTTCTTCTGCCGTGCAGCCTCCAGACCCGAGTCCTCCCCAGCAAGCCGCCCTCGGCTCCTGGCAAGAGTTGTCCCTCGTTGCTGGCAGCAATTTCTCTGCCCCGTTTTCTCCTGACCCACTTTGCACAGCCTCTCCAAGGACACAGAGCTTGTGGAGGTCACAAATTGCTCAGGGAAGGGGCCCAACCCCTGTCCTCACTCTGCTTGGTCCCCGATTTCCGTGACGGCCAGCAACGGTGCGGCCGCTCCTGCCTGGATGACACAGCCCAGGCTTCGGGACGACAAGCTCAGGCTCCCTCGGCTCCTCCTCCTGTCCAGGGCTCTGTCTCAGGCCCTTTTCTAAGCGTCCCCTCCCGCCCCCGCTCCTCCTCCCCACGGTCCCCTCTCAGGGCCATGGTGACTCCGTCCACCTCCTCGCTCCAGCCAAGAACCCATGAGTCACCCTGGAATTTCTGTCCTCCTTCCCTCACCTTGAATCCTGTTATGGATTAAACACTGGTGGTCAATTTAACACGGCTGAACTAAATCGGCACGGTGCTGAGTGTAGGTCACTGAGGAAAGCTGCCCGCACAGGAGAGGTGGAGAGGGCAGCTGGGCCCTGTGGGTCCTCCTAAGTGTCGCCACTTTGGAGCGGTGGGTTCTCCTGGGGGAGCTTGTCATGCAGCTCCCCTGACATGAACTCAGCCATCATCAGAGGAGCTCGGGACCTTGTCACTGAGAGTGGCTGCGGTTCACTTTGGGGCAGCTCTGCTCCTAACGCTGAGCATCACTTCCTGGCTCCGCAGTGGAAGATGTGTGCTGTTTAATCTCCTGGAGGAGCTCGTCACGCTGGCTTCCTGATATGAACCTGGCTGTTATCATCATCAGAGGAGCCCGGGACCCACTGTCACTGAGGATGGCTGTGGTGCTTTTCAGGGGAGCCCTGGTCTTTATTTTGAGTGTCACTTCTTGACTCCAGTGCAGAACCCTCAACCTATGGACACAGTTCCTTCACCCTGCTGGCATAGAATTTCTAGCTTCCACGGCTGACCTTGGGCCTTCCCAGCACAGATCTGCAAAACAGACTGGCCTGAGACCTTCTTGTGGGCTCTAGATCTCCAGTTGGACTCATGGGAGGCATTGTCATGGGCTCTGGATCTTTAGCTGGACTCATGTAGGACATTGCTACGGATCCAGGTCTTCAGCTGGGTTTTTTGTTGTTGTTTGTTTTGTTTTTTTAGGACTTTAGTGTGTGGGCAGATTTCCTGCACTTTCTTGTGTTTAACTCTGGGTGACCATCATAAAGTGATATTATAAACTCAGTGTCCTGTAGGTAATCATTCTCCTTGCAGTCCCCAACTAAAACAAATCCTTTTGCAAACTCTGCAGCCATCCTGAAAATTAACCAAGAACCTGGCCCTTCTCAAGACCTCCTGGCAGTGGCCAGAGCAAGTTTAGACCACGAGCCAGTCCCTTCCACTCTCTCCCATCCTGCAGTGCTCCATCCCTTTCTGCACATGCAGATGGCCTGAGTTCCTATCTCAGCCTTGCCACTTCCTGTGTGCCAAGTCCTACCCTGTGTGCCTCAGTTTTTCATCTGTAAAATGGGTTGCTTTGAGGACCAGCCCAACAGACAGAGTTTGACAGTTGATAAATGCTATGCAAATGCTCGGTGTTATTGTTCCCCTCTTTTATTATTACTTTTTTGGTTGCTGTTAGCACAGGCTGGGGGACTCGTGTCTCCCCACTTGTCCTCAGCCGTCGTCACACGCCACCCTCCCTCCCCGAGCACCCAACCCCGGGAGCAGCAGGCAATAAATTTCTCCGATCTCCTCATAAACCGCGCCGTCCTCGGCTCAGCCATCACCTGGCCCGCAGTGCTGTCAGAAAGACGGATGCCACATCTGCCTTGTTTATGACTTTAATTCCCAGCCCTGCTCTGCAGGCGCCAGGGTGGGGCCAGGAGGGGGTGGCGCTGCCCTCGCAGGGCTGAAAACTGCAGAGACAGAGCCGGAGACGTCCCCAAAGGGGCACCTGCAAGCTCTTCCTGCAGACCGGCCCCCTCGGGCTCCCGGGAGCTGCCAGACAGGTGCTGGGGACTGGGACCCTGCCAAGCACACGAGGCTGCGAGCGGCACAGTGCCAGGACCCCAGCTCGGGGAGCCGACAAGCACACTCCTGAGAAAGAAGCGGGCGGGGTCCCACGCAGCCTGCGCCCCAGCTGTGGTACCTGCCGTGCTCTGCCTGGCAAACTGAGGCACTGGGAACTCATGACCGCAGCGATGGGGCCCGAGATGCCCATGGTGTCCACACCCCCACGGGAGGATGGAGGGGCTCCTTGCTCTCTGTCCCGGGTCCCCGGGGATAAGCTCACTGCAGTGACCCCCCGATCGCTGCCTCCGCTCCTCCTTCCCGGGCGGGCCCTTCCCAAACACGCTTCCTGCTCGCAAGCCCTCAGGAGGGACGGCGAAGGCGGGAAGACAGATGGAGCCTTCCCGAAGGTGAAGCCAGGACCGCACAGCCCTTCCCACCCTCTCAGAAGGCCACTCCCCCTGTGTCCATCCCACACAGGAAGCACGTGTCTGCCAGCACCAAGGGCAGGGGTCAGGGCAGCTGGAGCCAGACACTGGGCAGTGAGAGGGCTGCAGGGCGTCCGCAGGCACCGGGCACGGGGCAGGGAGGGACGGGAGGCGGAGGGAGGCTCCAGCGCCAGCACCGCCCTGCTCCACGGGCCTCAGTTTCTCTGCTCTGAAGCGGGTGCTGCGCTGGGGACACCCAAGCCCACTCACCGGCTGGCAGCTCCTGCCTCTGGGTCTGGGACTCAGCTGCTGGTCTAAGCCCCGCTTCCCCAGCCGCCGTGCTGTTCAGGGGCCACCACGCCCCGAGCGCCTGCCACAGGGGTCAGGAATCAGAAGCCTCATGCCAGAGGCAACCTGGAGGACTGGCGGTGACTGCCAGCTCCACAGACAAGCACCTGACACCCACAGAGCTCAGCCTTCCAAGGTCACACAGCAGGAGGAGGCTGAGCTGGGCAGGAGGGGTCCAGCACCCCAGGAGCCCAGCGTCCCCCGGTGCCCCCCTTCCCATGCAGTCCCAGCTGCTCCAGGGCCCATCACACCTGACGGGGCCCCTGTCGGCCTCGGTGGGCTCCACAGCTTCGAGGCATGTCCCCGCCCTCCTGTGAGCCCGGCCTCTCCTGGGCCTGGGGAGCCCATGTCCTCCTGCCACTCACTGTCCCCCGAGCCAGAGTCCCAGCCTTCGCTGCACAGTGGAGCCCACGGGAGCCTTCTTGTTCCTGGGGTTCAGGGGCACCCAGCACGGGATATCACAGAGCACCCGGGACGGGTGTCAGGACTGAGAACTTGTACACACTCCTCACTGACCCGAGGCAGGTGTGCAGCTCGGTCACCCGGGGAGCCTGAGCCTCCACAGCCAGGCCCCACCCCACTTCCCATTCAGTAGCCTGAGCATGGCCGTGTTACAGTTCAAACGGCGCCTCTCCCTTCCTTCCAGAACATTCCTGTCCTCCCTCCCTGCCTCTGCAGCACTGAGACCCAACACTGCCCTCAGGACTTCTAGAGAGCCCAGGATCCTCCAGACATGGCCGCACAGCCTGCCAGACAGCCAGGTGACCCCAGAGAGCCCCCCACTTCCGGTTTCACCCGTCCCACCCTAGTTGTGATCAGGGTGCCCCAGAACAGGAGAGAGGGGACACTGGGCCGCCCTGCCTGTGAGGGCCCGGCCCCAGGCCCCGCCCAGCAGGTTCCCTTCTCACAGCTCCGTCAGCTCCCGCTTCCCGCTGGTGACCTTTGCTGCCTTGTGAGGGAGACAGGAGGTGACGTTTCCAAAAGCATGAAACAGCGGACTCATGGTAACAGTGGTGTCCACGGCATCAGCTCCCCCTGGGAGTGCGTAAACCTCCCCAAAGACACTCACAGACCCTTCCCACGCAGGCGCACTGACTCATGCGTGTATGTGGTCACACGTGTGCGTGCACACACAGCCTCCGGGCACATGCATGTTCCCCGTGCACCCCGTGCACGGCAGATGCAGTCAGCTCGGCCTGAGCCTGCCCCAGGGCTCAGAGGGCAGATGTCCACCCTGTCCAACAGCTGGGAACCTGAGCCACGATGGGTCAGCACACTCCCCACCTGACCACCACGTACCCCATCACCTCCTGGCCCTGGTGGATGGTCTGTCAGATGCAGAGGGCAACCTCCCTGGCCTACCAGGCCTCCCCCAAGCTGGCCAGTGTGGTGAGACATGAGGTGGAACTCCTCATCCTGCCGAGGCACCCACAGGACGACAGGCACCCAGTCCCATACCACATCACGAGGAGGCCCTGCTGCAGAGCAGCCCAGACCCACAGCATGCAAGGACACGTGCCCACGTGTACCCAAAGCCAGCACCACAATTGCTAATTGAGGAACTGAGGGTTCACGGCTCAGACCCAGGTTCCAGTCTTGTTCTACCATCTCCCAGCTGTGGGATCCTCCTTTGAGCCTCAGTCCTCCCACCTGTAAAATGGGCAGACCACTGCCCCCTTGTGCAGCTCACTCTGCACAAGGCCTCAGATGTTTTCTCTGCAGGGAAGGCTGGCCTGGTCACTTTTAAAAGACCTTTCCCACAACACATTCCTTTTCTTTCCTTCAGTGTTTGGTTTTTAGTGCACATTTCTGACATACTCTATAATTTATTTATCTACTTGTCATCTACTTCTCCACTAGAATAAAAACTCCCAGAGAATTTTTTTTTTTTTTTTTTTTTTTTTTTTTTGGTGCTGGGGAATGAACTCCTTACCTTGAATTTGCCAGGCTTATGCCACAGAGCTAAATTCCCAACTCCCTTTTTTTTTTTTGTTTTTTTGAGACAGGGTTTCACAGTGCAATTCAAGTCAGCCTTGAACTCCATATGTAGCCCAGGCTGGTCTTGAACTCACAGCAGTCTTCCTACCTCGGCCTCCCAAGGGCTGGGATTACAGGTGTGCCTGTAATCACCACACCCGGCTTCCTAGAGAATTTTGACTCTCCTTCACTGCTATCTTCACCATGCTTAGGATAGAGCCAGCCAGTCCTAAGAGCAAAACTAGTGTTTGTTGAATGACTAAGGGAACCTTGATTGGCTAGAAGTGGTTTCTGTTCAGATATGAGATCATTGTGTATTGTGGGACCTGAACTCAGTTGTGTGAGCTAGCCCCAGGAGTCCACATGAACCCCAAGGCAGTTAGATGACCCCGGGGGCTCCGTAGCCCAGTCACAGGCAGCTTCCCAACCAAGGGGCACAATGGTTTGTACAATGAAGGATCAACTCTCCCTCCACCCAGCACTGGCTCTGACCCCGCCTCTCAGGCCCTCCCGCCCCGCCCCTTTCCTATATGGCCCCGCCCCTTTCCGCCGCGCGCATGCTCACTGGTGCACTTCTTGACGTGGCTGCCCTTCTTGAGCGCGTGGCGGCTCAGCTTGCAGTGGAAGTTGTCCTCCCAGAACTCGGCGAACCAGATATTGCGCCGGTTGTTGTCCAGCGTGCGGCTGGAGAAGTAGCGGTCGAAGCCTGACAGGGAACCGGAGGGGACGGAGGTCAGGGCCTGGGGTGCAGCCCCGGACTCGGCCCCACCCATCCCCCAGGCTGGGCCATCCAGACCCTGACCGGGAGCCGACCTGAGCCACACAGCTGTTGCTCTGTCCTGCAGAAAGTGCAGCTTAGGGGCCAGGGGCGGTGGGGGGGGTCCCTGAGTCTCAAGTCCCTGTGCCAGGACAGCTGGTGCTAGGGTTTCTGGGGGTGTGGGCTTCGGGATGAAGAGAGGACACCCTGAGTGACCTTGAGCATACCCCCTTCTCAGCCTCAATCTCAGGGAAGGTTTCCCAGGGCACCGGTGTGTGAGGTCCCTCCCTCTCCATGGGTGCAGGGTTCTGTTGCACAGAGGGCAGGAGAGGAAGGTGGGGAGCCAGCTCCCCTAGGTGAGCTGCGAATCGGGGCATAGCCACAGCCGGGCCCAGCCGCCATCCCGGGACCTGCCCCTGGCACAGTGCCCTCGGAAGCAGACAGCTCCCGGCTACCCGCAGAGGACCCTGCCAGAAGGGGGAGGGCAGCTCCCACAGGCGAAGGAGAGATGCAGCTGTGTGCGTGTGGCACTCCTCCCACACGGAGGGCGCCGGAGTCTGCTGCTCCACAACTCCACAGAGCTGAGTGTAGCCTGGATGCCTCCCAGCCCAGAGCTGGGACCAGGAGGCCTCAGCCAAGGAGCAGGAGAGCAGAGACCCTGGGGAGCCAGGGGCAGGAGCAGGAGCAGGAGGGGGCGGGGACTGGCAGGGTGAGCCCGAAGCCGGCCAGGCCTACCTCGCACAGACATCCTCTTGGGGAGGATGGTGACGGCGCCCTCGGCCACCTCCTCCAGGTGCAGCACGGGTGCGATCTTGGAGCCCCAGCTGTCCGAGCCCATCCAGAAGAAGTGGCCTGTCTGGTTGGCCCTGCGTGCCGCCTGCAGCACACGCCTGGGGACACACACCGGCCCAGCCCAGCTGCCACACCTGCCTGTGGGCCCACTGCCGCCAGTCATAGACCATGCCGGTCCCCACCCCTGACCCACCAGACCAGGGCTCACATCTGTGCGCCTCACCCAAGCCTGTGCCCAGGCCTCTCCTGCTACAAGTCCAGTATGCTCCCCAGACTGAACTCTGTCCCTGCAGAGGCCACAGCTGTCTCCCTGGATCATACATGCCCCAGGTGACTTTCCTGGGGAGGTCCTCTCAGACCCCTCCCTGCCTTCCCGCCCTAGGCCACCTCTACACCCCTTAGGCAGCCTCAGTGTCACATACACACCCCTACCTCCGGCCCTCACGGGGCACAGGGGGCCAGCGGGGCCCTCTCTGTGCACCCACCTGTGCCAAAAGCCCAGGCCTTCGTCAACCTGCTCCCCTCCTCCCGCCGGGTAGATGAGAGTGTGGGTCAGCAGCTGCTCACCATGCCCCAGGCCTATGTGACGGTGACCTTAAGCAAACCAGGGACAGAGAGCCCAGCATGGGCCCAAGACGATGCACTATGAATTAAGTGACCCTCAGTGACAGCTCCTGGCACAATCCCCTTAACCCTGCGTCCCCATGGAGAACAACGGAGCAGGGGAGGTTACCAGGCCAGACACTGCCCCTGCCCTTGGTGGGGGCCCAGGGCTCGGGTGAGGCTGAGCCTGTGCAGGCTGTGGCCAGCAGGGCCTCAGGCTCCCAGAGGGGAGTGACCATCCCCAGGCCAAGGAGCCTGGGCCCTCCTGCCTGCATCTTCTGACTCCCTGTGCCTCCCCAGCACCCACTAACGGTGGGTGGGGCCGCTCAGAGCCCACCCAGGCCCTGCTAATACCACCTGCTTCCACTGCATAGGGCAGAGCTCTAGCCCAGCGTCCCCGCAGTCACCTGCGTTTATTTTTACTGTTTGCTTTGGAAAATGCACGTGGATTTCCAGAAATGACCTGCCTTTGCCCACACTGCCTGCCTACGGCCAGCTCTGGAGCAGAACCGCGTCCTCTCCCCCACTTCCTGTCTGCAACAGAAACCAGGCCCTCTGTCCTTCCTTCCCGGCCAGCTTGGGTGTCCGCCTTGGCTGCCGGTGTCCCTGGAAGCAGCAGGCCCGGTGGGGGTGCAGAAGTGGGCCTGGGGGTTCACAAGCATCTGAGCCAGAGTTGGGGGACCTGTACCCCTTGAGAGGGCAGGTACACCCTCCGTAAAGTTTGGAGGGGGTCAGAACTGAGGTCTTAGGATGGCCCCCCACCTTTCCCTACCTGAGATACCCTGGCCATCTCCTGATGATCTTCCAGCCCTCCTCTAAGTTCAGACCTGGACCCCTACCTAGGGGACGCACAGAAAGGGGCCAGCCTAGGTTCCTACAGGGCACGTCCTGGCCACCAGCACCTGCTGCTCCAGTCTGCAGATGGGCAGACTGAGGCCCGGAACGGTGCTCTCCATCCCACTGAGTGTGCACCTGAGCCAACATCCCTAGCCATACTTCCTGTGCCCCGAGCACCCCAAAGAGAGGAAAGGTGCCACAGTGTGGCCAGCGTCTACGGGGCACCTACTTCCTGCTACTCAGTTTTCAAACACAATTAGACAGGCACCCGCTTTACACACTAAATAGCGGGCCAGGGATACAGCTCTGCAGTGCAGCACCTGCCTGGCAAGCGTGAGGTCCAGAGTTCGATCCTAGGTACCAACAAAACTACATAGCAACCAAGAAGCCCAGAGAGATTAAGAGCTTGTAGAGGTCGGGGCTGGGGATTTAGCTCAGCGGCATAAGCACCTGCCTTGCAAGCAGGCAGTCGTGAGTTTGATCCCGGTACTGATAAAAAGGAAAAAGACAAAAAAAAAAAGAGCTTGCAGAGGTCACACAGCTCGTAGGTGGGATCGGAACCCTGGCCCTGGCCCCCACATCCACAGCCTCAGCACTTCCTCTGGGCCATTCCTGCAGGCAGAAGGGCCACCTCCATCCCCTCTGGGCACAGGCTGGGCTCAGCCCCGGCCCCTGCCCCGGGCCTCACCTGATGTCATCCTCGTTGGCGAAGATGATGACGGCCCTGGCATTTGAGGTCTCCAGGAGCCTCCGGATGATCTTGTCGAACTCGCCCGTCTTGGGCTCCCGGGGGATCTTCACCGACTGCGCAATGCACACTCCCCCTGCGGGAGAGGCATGTCAGCAGGACTCCGCCTGGAGAAGGCCAGCGCTGCCCACTCCCCACTCCCCAGCCTGCGGCCAGCCCTGCGGGGCATCGGGGGGCAGGTTGTGCAGTGAGGACAGCGTGGCATGAACCTGGGCTTTGCTCTCCAGCCTGGGGCCCTAGGGATGTGGCTGAACAGCTCTGTGCCTCAGTTTCCCCGTGCAGAAGCTAGAGGTGACATGGTATCATGGTGCCCGGGTTTGAATCCTAGCCCTGCTGGTCACTGCAGAGCATCAGTGCGTATAAATACAGGGCAGTCCTCAGGCCACAGGGCTGTGGGAGCCGGGTCTCTCTGGAGCTGGCCAGCTGGAGTCCCACCCAGTGCCCTGGGATGGAGGCAGCTGAGGATCACCGCGTTCCATGTCACCCACTGCACCAGACACACGAAGGACGGATGGGGGAGGGGGCACCCCGAAGCCACACAGTGCCCTACCCTACTGCCTTCCGGGAGCTGGGAACACCCAGAGAACCCAAGCCTGTGCCCCGGTGACAGAGCAGGTGTCGGGGAAAGCACCAGAGATGACTGGAGCGAAGCCAGGCCCCTCTGAGCCTCTGGCCTCCTCTGGGTCCCCTGGGAACAGAGTACTCCTGAGCCTCCACACCCACCAGGGCTGGGGCCCCTCAATGCTGCCCCAGGCACCCCTGGGTCTCTGCCCAGGCTTAGTGTCCCATCCACCAGGTACATGGGTGCTCCTGGGGCAGGGCGCACAGGCTATCCCATACCCCCCCCCAGCAGGCCCAGGGGAGGCTGCGCACCCAGGGCCACAAGGGGCACTCAGCAGGAGGGGCTACTCTGTGCCAGGGTCCCTGCAAGGCCTGGGGCAACAGGCCACAGCACACGCACACACAGGAAGTCCCCCCACCAGAGAAGGGCAAAGTCACCAGGAGTGCAGGGGTCGTGGGGAGAAGGAGCAAGGGTCCCCAGGAACTGGCGGCCACGGCACTGGCCAGGCGCTGATGGTGGCGGGCAGGCCCCCAGCTCCCTGCTAATGCCTGCATATGGTTCCTTTCCTGTTAGAAAAAGGCCAGCTGCGACCTTTCTCCCTCAGCCTGAGGAGACAGATGGACAGGAGGGAGAGGCTGGACTGGCCAGGGAGGGAGGGCAAGTGGGGGCTGTGTAATCCGTCTGGAACAGCAGAGACGCTGGGTTCAGTAGGAATTTGGGGTCAGGCCTCCCACACCCCAAGGACACCTCTTGACATCTTTGCCAACCTACGGGGCGTCTGGAGGGGGCCCAGGCAATGCTAATGAGCACCAGCAGGGTGTAGGCCCTCGCTCCTCTGGTGCCAGGATGGCACCACGCCATTGCTGTGTGGGTGAGGAAACTGGCTTCTCCAAGGTTGGGAGAGAGGACCGGGATGGGCTTAAAGTTAGGCTGCAGGCGGGGGGGGGGGGGGCAGCGCTGTTCCTGCAGGAGGACGGGGAAGGGGAGCACGGTGGCCATGGGGAACCAGCAAGGACAGCCCCATTGTGCACCTGGCATCAGGTCTCCAGGGGGCTCACACTCCTGGGGGCAGGTGCTCATGCCCCCATCAGACAGGTGGGAACCGAGGCCCGGAGATGCCCGGCAAGGCCCAGTGTCCCCCAGGCAGAAAGGCCCCAAGCCTGCAGCCCCCCAGAGTTGCCCCCTTGCCCTCCTTCAGCTGCAAGGCAGCTCCTGCCCGGCATGCACTGAGAATGGAAGGGCAGTGCCTCCTGGGTACACACGGCACAGACAGGCGTCCCAGCCCGTGCTGCTACAGGTCACGAGCCACACAGCAGCCCTCAGCACCCTGGGGTGCAGCCCCTCCCAGGGAGCCTGGCTGTTGCACCCTAGGGATAACTTCCTCAAACCCTGCCCACCCACCCCCTCACTCTCCGGTGCCTCCACAATACAGTGAGGACCCGGAGCCCACGCCACAGTAAACACCATCTCACAAAGCCCCAGAGTCGGCGCGGAACGAGTCTGCTCCCCAGGGTCCCCTTCATGAACCCCACACGCTGCTCCCCAGCCCCGTCCAGCCTCCTGCCAGGGCCCTGACAGAACCAGCAGCCATGTGCCAGCTTCAAGCCCTGCTGTCCCAGCCAAGGCAGGGCCACCACCTGCCAGGTCGGGGTGCAGGAAGCCACAGCCCTTTGCCAGGGACACCCGAGCAGGGGAGGCTGGGGAGCTGGGAGACCATGGTTCCCAGCAAGAGGCACAGAGAGCCCAGACTTAGGCCAGAGAGGATCGCCCGCAGCACACAGTGCCGACACAGCCCCCGGACTCAGTCACTCAGTCAGCCTGGGGGGACTAGGACCCAGGCCAGCTCCTGCCTGCATGCCCAGAAGTGCTGCGCTCACCCTGGCCCCAGCCTCCACCCCTGCACCCGCTGCAGCGTCCCCAGCCTGCCCTCCCTCCACCTCCACCTTCTATGCTGTCCCATCCATCAAACCGGCTGTCCTTGGCCCCCACTGGCCTGGACATTGCTGGAGGCCATCAGAGCGCTCGGAGCCCATGGCCATGACCAGGAATGCCGCGTGCTGGTGGCCCCAGCATCAGCACCACCTCCTCCCCGCTCCTGCCAGGGACCCCAGCTCTCGGGCAGGGGACACACACACAGGCGCTCACTGCAGCGTTGGTCGCAGCTGGCGAAACAAAAACAATCTAAATATTTTACAACAAGACAGCTAAACCTCGGCGCGTCCGCCTGGTAAGCAGTTAAGATTAATAAAACTGCCCTCCAACGTCTGCGTGACAGGTGCCGAAAACAAAATGGACTGAGAGGAGCCAGTTACAGCATGCTCTGTCCCATTTATGCACAACTTAAAGACCACATGGGACACTTATTTCTGGACACCCGTGCATGCAGTCAGGAGAAAAGGCTGCACAGGGGCAGATCCCCGCTATAACCACATCCCCCTGGTGCCCAGAACACAGCCTGGCACATAGAGGTCCTCATTAGCCATGTGTCGAGCGACTAAACAAGGCCCAGAAGGAACCCCCCACCCATCAGAATCACCATCACCCAAAGAAGGAAGCCAGGGGCAGGGTTCCGGAGAGCGCCACCCTGCGCTGCCACGCACGCACCTTTCTGTCTCTTCACAAAAAAATCAGAAGCATGATCCTACGCCACCTGGCAGGGGCGGGGGATCCCCAGCCACCTCCCCACCTCGTCACTCTGACTCCCAGGCCGCTTGCACTGCCCTGAGGCACCCACCCCCGCCCGGGCAGCGCCCATCAGCTCCCAGCTGGTCCTCAGGGCCCACAGGAGACTCCTCTCTGCACGCTCTTTCCTTTTGAAAAAAATCCTCGTGATTTAAAACAGAGAACAACGAAGACACCATCCCGAGGAAATCAAGTGGAAAAATCGACGCTACGGCAAAACGTGGAGATGGCAAATCTCGATGAGGAGGAGAGGGACAGCCAGGGCAGGGGAGGGGTCCCCCAGGCCTCAGCAGAGAGGGAGCAGGGAGGCCCGAGAGGCTGGCGTGCACTCACACGTGTGCGCCCCGCCTCTCCTGCCACCCTAACCCCTCTTCTTTTCTCTCAGGAAGGGGACCAGTGGGGTCCATGACAAGTAAGGTCCAGCTCTGGCTCCCAGGCCAAACTTGCCCTCAGCTGGCCCTGGTGGCCTCCGGGGTTCTCTGCCCAGGACATCTGCATGGCCTCCTGGGGACAGGAAGCCACTCACAGCTGCTGGACAAGGGGTGATGGAGTGCTCAGCTACTAGGGACACACGGGGACAGCCCAGGAGGGACATGAGCACGATGGGGGGGCCAGCAGAAGGAGGACTCCCAGGGACCCCTATACCCGCTCCCAAGGGGCTCCCCGCCACGCAGCATGCTGGCTCCCTGAGCTGCCGTCTGGTCCCGTGAGCAGGCCCTGGGGCCCCACATGGTGCCCAGCATCTCCTCGGCACCAGGCGCCACACGCGGTGCTGCCCTGGCCACGCACCCGACCCTGCTCTGTGGGGACTCACTTCCTCCACAGGCGTACAAAACAGGAGCAAGTGGAGAAAATCGCGAGCCAGCCGTGCAAATGGGCCAGTCCCCACGGCCGCCCGGCCACAGCTAGGTGAGGCGCCAGCTCCCCACCGTGGTTACTCCAGCTGTGGCACGCAGGGGCTCCCTGGGGAGAGACCAGCGGGCACTGGCAACGCAGATGCTAGGAGCCAATGGGACGAGTCCCAGCCAGCGCACCCCCTGCACTCCGGGCGGCTGAGTGAGGAGAAACAGCCCCTGCCTCCTGGCTGTGTGACTTCAAGTGTGTTACCAAGTGCCCATCGGGGAAACGGAAGGACTTTGGCTTCACCCTGGAGGAACAGGGCCAGGGCCAGGGCCAGACACAGGCGAGTGAAGGTTCTGAGCCTCCGCCTGGGAGCAGGTGCGGGCTGCAGGACAGGAGCGTGGGTCCTTGTCACCCCACCAGTCAGGGCCAGGCTGCTGAGGTCACAGCCCTGGGCACCCTAACAGGATACAGTGGCACCCGGCCACAGCCAGAAGCCCCATGATCACCGAGGCAGTGCCACACGCTCTCTCTGCTGCACGCCCCCAGCACCCGCCACACACAGCCACACGTATGTATGCATGCACACACCCAGCTACACAGAACAACTGCACACCCCTGCAGCCTCACACCGCACCCCACAAGGATGTGCACAGAGCCACACACGGACACAGACACACACTCACACCTCGCACAAGCCCACAGCCCCTCACAGGCCCCCGCCCCAGGGTCACACACCTCCCGGCCTCGACCTGGGCACATGACTAGATAGTGGGGGACAGTGCACCCACCACAGGCCTGTGCCCCAGGCAACCACCTGCCCTCACACACACCACAGACACACGCATCACACACCGACAACACAATCACATCCACACCACACACACAGGCACCTAAACAACTCAGCCCCACACGGGCCACATAAGCTACACACACTCACACATGAGCACAGTGTCACACCCCAGAGGGTCCCCAGACACCCCTCAGCCCAA